GCTAATATAATTATATTATTCATATCTTAGTTACATCAGTTCTAAAGAAAAAACTCTATAGGCCTAAATTCTTAGTTTTAAGTTAAATAACGGTGTTTGGGTCTTGGGTTTGACTACGTAACGTTACCCATTACTTACTAAGTCTAATTAAACCCCAAAGTAGAATTAATGCATCTTTTTTTAATTTTAAGTGTATAAAAAATGATACATAATATTTAATAAAAATATGTTCATACTTTTTGCCTAGTCTGCACCAAGCCTAAAATTAGTATATGTTTTTCAACAGGTAGTCTTATAAACATATCCGCATATTATACAACACAACAAAGTGGTTTGGTGTTTGCAGATACGAAGTACATGTAGCTTATCCTGCTGTGTAACGTGAGGCTTACAAATACAACTTAAAAATTCTAAGAACTTATGAGTGAACTAAAGAACAACAACAGCAATCAGAGAGATTGTGACCCTCGCCCCGCCTCTCGTTTTCGAGGTTGCATACGTTTATATTGGATAATATCAAATTTCACCTTCGAAAACTCAGAAAAATCCTTCTCAGATCCAGAAAGATCAACGATCCGAATCACTTTTGTAGTGTGATGAGGATTCTCAACCTTAAGATGCCTAGGAAATTTGGCACAAATCCGATCACACTTTAAACAGTTAATAACCCAAAACCGCAAAAATGCCCTATATCCCCATTATAAAAAATGCTTCAAAGTGGTCCAGAATCCGGATCCAAACCAAATTTGGGGAGGACTGTCCCATACTGACCTCCTATCACGTGTAAAATTTTTATGTACATCAGTCTATTAGTTTTCGAGATACGTGTGCGAAAACACAGACAGACACGCGAACCCGACTGCAATGCCCTCGACACCCCCCCCCCACTCCAGAGGCAAGGGTAATCTATATATAAAACTCAAAATAGCTCTACTTGTTTGTCCGCTGCGTTGACTGTGCAAAAGGTGCGCAAAACAACAATTTTTCGTTCATATACGCGTCTATCGTTTGCCAGCCGAACCGGTAATTTTATCGTTAACATATACATTATACGAATAAATTCTATACAGACTTGACATGTTTTGGTAAGTTTGAGTTAACATTTAATTTAGAATATAGCATTATTGGCTTATTTAATTATAGATCAAATACTATACATCTGCTAATACATCATATAATTAACGTCACATACAAACAAAATGTATGCAGAATTAGAATGTTGTATGTGAAAAAAGCAAACAGTAGGCCTAGCCTATAAAATAAAATTATGCTGTCTACCATAAAATAGACTACGTGAAAAAATTAAGGCTTACATTATAATACTTATTGTGTAAAATAAGTTTAAAGTCAAGTCAAGGAATGCTTATATTCTACTTTTTTTTCTTCCTCTGGGTGGTTTGAAACCTGAAATTTGATTTTTTTCTTTTGATACATTATAATGTACAATATTGCATTTTGTTTGTAGTATATTTCATACATCAACGTCATAATGTGAATACGGGATGACATTCATAAAAATATATTAAATTTACATTAAACTAAATTCAACATAATATTACATAGATATTATAGATATTTGCGTTTGAAATTTCGATATTTGAGGAAGGATGACGTGCGATGGGAGGAATGGAGCTTGGCTTATCCTGTTCGCCAGAAAGGATATTCATATGTGTATAAAGTAATATAAATATTCTCCAGAAGGGCCTATTTAACCTTGCCAATGAAGGGGAAAAGCATCGTTCATGAGGAAGCCCTGATTTAAAAACAAGTTCCTAGTTTATTTATAAGGTTGTTTTTTTCATAAATTCAAAAATAATATTTTACCTATCGAAATATGGAATGGGGAAATAGAGAGAGTAGGTTTTTTCGAAAATCCGGACAACACACCGCTAGTAATGTATAAAAAATATGTATACCATACTATATCCAGTGGGGAAGAGGCAACACAGACCCGAGATAGATACCTATCCAGTGACGACCCTAGATGTAAGCAGGCTAAGCGATTGCTTCAGGCTCTGAGCAACTCCGATAACCCACGATTCATGGTGATTTTTTTTTCTCATAACTTTGACCTATTTTATGTATTGTACTTATTTGATAAAGTGTTTTCAATAAAAGTGATCCATAAACACATCACCCAATAACAATCGGCAGCAAAACACTTCTTAGTTAGGCACACGTGCAATGCGCTGATTGATTACCGAGTACATTACAGGCACGGTGTGCATGATTTGATAAAGTTAACAGCACAATGATGTTACTATATGAGCAGAAAAGACTTTTTAAGTGCAATACTATGTTTGTGTTGGCGTATTTACCGGATTTTAGAAGTAATGCAATTAGTATTTTAAGAAAGGGTGTCTATCAGCATGAAGTTTAGTGAATCAGCGTAAACAGAAATAAGAATAGCGCATTAAAGATATTATCAATATTGAACTGTTTATATGCCCGAGTTTAAACGTAATTACTTTTAACAAATTATTTTGTCTTTATTCTCTAGTGTGGCTTGGCATGCCCTGGTGGTTAGGACGCTCGACTCGCCATCTGAGGATCACGGGATCGAATTCGTCGCCGAACATGATCGCTCTTTGAGCCATTATAATGTGAAGGTTAATCCCACAATTAGTTGGTAGAGAGTAGCCCAAGAGTTGGCGGTGCGTGGTATTGACTAGATGCTTTCCTTCGAGTTTGTCAATTCAAAATTAGGTACAGCTAAATCAATTAGCCATTGAGTAGCTCTGCGCAAAAATTCAAAAATAAATAAATACGTAATACGTCAAGAAAAATATTCACACTCATTGGTGAAAGAAGATAATTGCTTAACCATATTCTAGGCGTATGTTTAAACCATCGCCATCTACCGTATAATCTTCGAACAATAATGTGCATACTAAATATTTGTTTGTCATAAGCTATTAATATTAGGCCTATTAGATTTTTAACACTAAATTATTTATTCATTCCCTTAGTCTTTAAAGAAGAAGAAAACTGCATAATACTAGTATTTCAACCACACAACATCCACCACATTCATTGCCGAAAATACGTTTCGTTCAATACACAGCTCATCAGGCACAATAAACACAGTTGCACTCACATCACTATTTACATAAATCACTTGGAAAAACAACCGATATGGTGTGAAAACACCTTTTTTAAGCTGGTAAAACATTATTATAAGTAATTATATTTGTCATAAGACATAAGCATTAAGCCTATTATATTTTTAACACCATATTCTTTATTCAGTCTCTTTCGGTTTTTCAAGATGACGTGTACAATATTAATAATATTTCTCTAAAAAACAAATCGCTGTTAGCACTTTGAATAATGAAAGTTATTCCCATTTACTTGTTAGTTCTGCCGAGTACAGTTTCATATTAATTTTTATTATACCTCTAAAAATAATATTATTATGCATAATTATACTTTCACTGCGAAGAATGATTTTTTCCATTGTAGGAATGTAGTTATTTATACAACAGTTTACTATTTCCAGGGACGTAGGAAGGAATCTATAAAGGGGTTGCTACTTTTGGAGTTAAAACGAAATAAACAGGAAAGCCATAGTGGGGGTTCGGAAATTTTTTAAATTTTCACTGAAATGTGTGCATTTTGATAGTACCCGAGGCGTTTTTATACTTTTAAATTTGTTTTATATGTACGTATATGTGTGCAATTTAGGGCGTGCGATCGCATACACCGCCCCTCCCATGCCTACCCACACACTCTTTTTACGCCCGACACCATCATTAACGAATCGCCTGTCAGGATTCTTTCTATTCAACATACCGGTTTTCATCAGGTGACTAAGTTTCAGTGCTAAGTCCCCAACCTGCATAAGTTTCAATGTCAATGGAAAAGTAGCAGGTGCTTTCCATGCCATTCCTAAACAATTTTCTATATTACTGATTCTAATCATTCAAAAATAATTATAACTATTTTCTGTAAGTAACATAAATAACTATAAACAGACGTGACTACGATCAAATAATTTGAAATATAAACTTCGTACCATACATCGATTCGGTAACTTGTTTTTTTAAGAAACGTTTTAAATTTAAGAAGTTCATGTTCCTAAAAAATGAGACCCGAGTAATTTCTAAAATAGTCCTTTATTTTCTCTGATTAAAACTGAACGATACATAACATATCCATCAATTACTCTAGTTAACCCTTGTAAATATAATTAATTATAAAAAAAAATAAGTTACTCTCTAATCAGTCATAGGTTTTCCGACCTGGATAACCTCTGGACTAGCATATTTCACCCCGGAGGAGATAACAAGTTAAATATTAATGACACACATTATTTGACAATCAATGATTTTATTTTCCCTTAAAATGCCAAAAAGAATTATTTTACAATAATTTATATTTTTTTCTTAAAAAAAAACAACAACACACATTCGGATGTGCATATGCCTGAATGTTTCAATATTAAAAGTTGAAATTTAATGACACGGATTATATGTCAATATATTGTTCTGATTATTTTCTATAAATAAATAAATAACTACTGAATCATTTCTGTTTTTGCCTGCTTTATAACTACAAAACTATTCGAGGCCTGGCATGGTTAGGGCGCTCGACTTTCAATATGAGGGTCGCGAGTTCGAATCCCTGTCGCCGAACATGCTTGTCTTATTCAGTTACCGAATGGGCCAGCTACCCGAGTGTAAAAATTCTTGGCTTACAAAAACTTCAGGCCGACCCCAAAAATGTTGGGATTAAAGTCGTATTAAAAATAAAAATTATTCATAGTTTGGGCATAAATATGCTGTGGTAGTGTATTTTGTTGTTGTAAAGAGAAAATATGTTTTATTGATCGACTGTGATATTTTAAGACTTAAATTAACTTGGTCTTAAATATTTTAACGTTTAATGTTGACAGTTTTTCCTGTATACGTCGAAATTTACTGCACTTTTTATCAGCTTCCGGAAGTTAAATATTCAAAAGTGTACACATTTCTTTATAAATTTTGTAACAGAAAACTTACGCTGTTTGGCAACCTTTTATTAGATTATCACCGTCTTCAACTTCGTCACAACTCTCGCCTCCAGAACTACTTTCTGTTACATCAGAATCAGCTACAGATTCCAGATAATTGAGGTTTGTTATTAAGCTATCCACTGCTTTTTTGATTTCATTATTTACCACTGATTTGTGCTTAAACCGTTGATTCAATTTGTGTCTGGCTCTAACATCACACCTATCGTTCAAAATGGCAGAACCATAATTATTTTTCTTCCTAGTAAAATTTGATTGTTGAGTGATTAACGATGACGCCGAAAGACTTTTGGTGTTCTTCTTCAAAATACCACCACCAGTATTTGGTTTTTGCGTAATCTGTGTAAGCGTTTTTCGACTTTTGCATTGGCTGTTCTTGGCTGTTTGTTGATATTCAACAAATACCTTTAACTGCTCATGCAAGTGCCGACGCACCTGACCTAACTGAACTTTCCTCACTCTTTCCAAAAGCCGAGTGGCTCTCCTTTCCAAACTAATATGGTTAATACGTAATACCTTTTTATTCAATGAAGCTGCACTAGGGGCTTTCGATCGGTAGGGATGTAATTGTTGTTCAGGAAAACTCAAATCACTATAAGATCTTTCAAAAACCAATTCTTCCGATTCGTTTTCAGTGACACTAGGCCTAACTGCAGCAATGCATTCTGAATTGTTCAAATCATTTTTAAACTGTTCCGTATTAGTTGATGCAAGATAATCCAATGACGTTTCTATATTATCCTGCAAAAGATAATTAGTTTCATTATAAAAATTACCTGCTTGCTTTCCTTCGGTAGTTTCAAGTATTAGGTTCTTTGCACTGCTAGGGGGAAATGTTTCTAAACGGATTTTTGGATTTGAACTATTTAATGAGATAAACTTGACATCAATATTTCCTTTTCCATCTGAAGAGGAAAAAGGTTCGTTCCTCGAAAATTGAATGGAATTCAAAGAAAGTTTGTCCGTGTTCTGTATGATTTGTTCTTTAGCTGCCACATAAAAACCACCACCTTTTGAACATGCTGATTCTATCCAGTTGTTTTCACGTGCAGATATCCTATTCCAGATATCATCTGTTCGACTACTATACAAGCTTCCAGGAGACACTGAACAGCTTGAATTAGATGCTCTTGAAGGAGATAAGGGTACGTGATTAAAAGTGTCGGCTTTATTCGCCGCTCCTGTAAGAGCAGGAGTCATGGCGGCCAAACAGCACAGCCTTACCGAAACAGGTGACCACATATACCTAGACATCGTTAAACATTTTCTATGTAACCGTTAATTGTTTGAAGAAATACACGTTCGTTGAACGTTAAATACAGGCATTTAGTCCTTTGGTAATAACCTTGACACTCACTGCCACTGGTCAAGTTATATTAATCATTTAATGCATATGTCGGACGGATGGGTAATTATGATAAAATTCTTCATACGAAACAAGTTACTATTTTCATTAAAGATCTGAACCGACGATTCACCAATTTGGGCATCACTATAGATTTGTTACATTTATCTTTACATTTCAAAAGTTTAAGGTATCCTAAACAGATATGCATAATCGACAAACGCTCAATGTTCACATATAATTCTTGTACTTTCAACGTTACTTACAAAACGCGGCAAAATATGGGAAGTCAGCCACGTGATTTCACATCCCGTTCAGAATGCTGTTGCCATGACGTAATGATTTCTACAGATGAAATGCAATAAACCACATTTAGTTAATTGTTACGTTACTGTGAGCTCTAGTCTACAAACTTAAAAATTCTAGGCTCACACTTTTAACAAATTGTTCACTTGCATCAAAGGCTGTAAATGAATATAATGCGTAACTTTATCTCTCTGTTATTACACCCCGAGGTACAACGAGTCTAACGTCGTCACGAATACGTTTCTACTAAAACGTGTTCATCCTTGTTGTATTGAATGTTGGCGTCATTATAACAGCAGTGTATCCTGATTGGTTGGAATATACATATGGATCTTCCCGTAACTATTACTTACCCAGCAATGAAATTTAGTATTATCATGTATTAAGTAAAATGCGTCCAGCAGCTCCTGTTAGCGAAGTTTCATAAAAGTATGACTCGAATGAGCATTTAAATTATTTTTTCATGAACTTTCTAAATTTTTATATATTATTTCCATATATACAGAAAATATATAACGTAGGGAGACAACGTGGTAGAATAATTCTCGCATATCATACTACGGCAAGCAGAATTGGTTGTATATTGCGTCATATATCTATTGTTTAAATAAATTTAGATTTGAAATACATTACGATAAAGCACCCGATATTTACAACTTCTATTTGATATATATAGCAAATAATGGACAATTTTGTTATATCACGAAAAGAAAAACTAGAAAATGTTCCCTTTTTTCTTTTTATTTAATTGATAAGTGTACTTCTTTTAAAAAAAAGCGGGGGGGGGGGGTATGGGCGTGGATCTAGTATTTGGCGTACCCACGTTGTGAATTCGAAATTTAATGGTACAACGTTTGACGCTCAATCAGTGATCGTGGATTTTTCTAGGGGCTCTACCGTTTTATCCCCACACCTAATTTCTGAGTGTTGGATCTTTTGATCCTCTTCCCTCTAAGTTGGATCACCTGATACTTGTTTATTTTTCTTTTATCTGCCTATTTATCTAATCTTTTTTTTATTTTATTCAATTCAATTTATTTGATTCCACTTTATTTCTATATGTTTTATTATTATTATTTTACTATTTATTTATTTTTAAAAAAGATTGGAGTGGAATCTACTAAGAGCTAACCGGTAATCTAAATGAACAAGAAACAACAACCCAAGAACCGACACATCCAGAAAACATACATCATGTATGTTTCTATGATAGTGTTTGAGCTTTTCCGGCTTACTTCCTTTTGCGGGCGGTGTTCAAAGCAGTCAAGTCATAAAGTTACTTATTATTGTAACTAGCAGAAACCCGCAAAACATCTGTGGTCAAATTAGAACCTTTATTGCAATAGTTCTTCTTTAAATACAGGACTTCAAGAATAATACAAAATAATTCTAATCGCAGACACCGAATCTATAAGCCCACTTATCTTAGGCCTAACATTAGTTATTAAGCCTATATTAAGTACGGCCTATATTCAATAAATAGATAAATTAACACTGTAATTTGTGTACGTTTTATGCTTCGGTTTAGTTAGGGCTAAACTTCACCGTACTTAATACTATCAATAAATAAACTTATAATGGTTGGAGACGGGTTGGATGGGTAATGAAGAAAAACTTTAATCTAAGTTTAACATAACAGCAAATGTACAACGTTTCGACAAGGTTTTGTCATCATCAGGTACAAGTAATTTACACTGACACGAATATATATATACAGCATTGAACAAAGAGGTCACATGACCGGATACTGTTGCAAAACTTAGAAGAAGTATCTTGGTGCCCTGGGGTGTTGGTTTAGAGTAGGGTTGTTATGTTCAATTAATACGGATTCCTTGATTTTTCGTTTGATTATGTTGGGTTCTTTGTTTAAAATGATTGTGTTTTCAATAGATATACTATGGTTTTTTGAGTTGCAATGGTGAAAACATGGGACGGTTTTTTATTGTGTTCTGTCAATCTGGTTTCCAATTTTCTTCCTGTTTCTCCGATGTAGGGTTCTTGGCAGTTATTGCATGTTATTTTGTAAATGGCGTTGGTATTGTGTGATTCTAAATATTTTTTGTTTAGTAACGATTTTAATTTAGAGCCGGGTTTTTGTGAGAATTTGATGTTGACAGGAATATAGTGTTTAATGGCTAGTTTTGTCCAAGTGTGGATAATTTTTGAGCTGGTTTCAGGAACAAAAGGTAAACTGCAGTGTAATGTACTGTTCTTGGTTTTGTTAGTGTCAATTTTGTTTGTGAGTTGAGTTTTACTGTGGGGAATGTTGAAGAGCTTTTCAACTATAGCTGGTGGAAATTTATTGGTGTAAATAAAGGAATGCTTTATGTGGTTAATTTCTTCATTCATGTAGTCCGTTGAACAGTCTTGTGGCTGTGTTTATGAGGTTTTTAAGTGTATTGATTTTTTTTTGTTATTATAATGTTATTCTACGACCTGATATTACATCTTTTTAAAAACTTTGATAAGCTTTTAATATGCTATTGTAGAAAGTGCCTATTAAAGTATATTTGCATTCGCCCTTTGTTTAAATCCGCTGAAAAGAAGTGCGCGCGTTTTTTCGGGGTAGATAAAAACTGAGTATTATTATAACAAATTATTACCCCCCCCCCCACTCCAAAAACACGGGTAGTATTTCGTAACATCTAAACCAAGAGCGGGGCGAAGAGTGATTGCTTTATCTCTGAACATCCCTGGTTTATTTAAACCTAAATACCTTTCAAGAAGGCAAAGAAAGTTCTGTATATTAGTCTTGATTTATCTTGCTCTTATCAACCTCAGCAACCAGACGACACAGAAGAAGAAGCCAGATCAGTTAGGTAAAAGAGCACCGTGTTTTGTTTGATTAATTCGTTTGTTTGTTTTAGCGCAAAGCCACATTTGGCTAATTGCTGTGTCCACTGTGCGGAATCGAACCCAGGATTTGAGCTCTGGTCTGTAAACTTACCGCTGTCCCACCGGTAAATAATATGTGATTAATAAAGAATTTTTGTTTAAAGCTAATCCTGAACCAGCGTCTTCCGGATATTTTGAAAATTTCCTGCTGGATATCAGTGAATCTGAATACCACACAGTTAAAGTAAGAACATCCCTTGGAAATTTAACATGATGATTCGTACTGATTTAGGTCTCCAAAAGTTATACGACAGTCATGTTCACAAGCTTCTCTCGAAGCATACAGCCTAACGGAAGATCACCCGTAGAAAGATGTACGAGCGGTACTTGGTACGGGACAAATTGAAGTATTTCATCACATTTTACAAAGCACGTGTCTGTAAAAGTCCAGAAATGTTATCGTCCTGCCGATGATACAACACTTCAAAAATGGCATAGAGTCTGTCACGGAAGGTTTTGGCCCTTTATTAGTACATGTTTCAGAGGTGTAGCAGGCAAAATTAAAAGTGGGGAGCTCAAGGTTTATTTGACCGAGTGGGGCGAGGAAATGTACGCCACAGGCGCACCCATTATGGCCGCGATCCAGGACTCGCCTTAGGGCCCTGGAAGTTCTTGGGTTATGAATTAAATTTTATGCGTTCCCCTACTATTCATGAGGTCAATTTTCGTAATTTGATGCATTGTTACTGGGACAGGTTCAAACTGGGGTCCCGCCCCCACCCCTCTGCTTCTTACAGCATATTAAATGCTAAGACCGTGTATATAACCCTTGAGCTCAAGGGTTTATAAGGTATTTGGTATGTGTTATGAAGGTTTACTACATATATCAAGCTGTTTAGTTAAAGGAAGAAATATAAGTAACAGTTTTCACTCTGTTACACCCACGTTGAAAAACAAAAATGTGTGTTTATTCATGATCTGCATCCAAACAAATAATACTTAGCTCAGTGAACTCTAAGATGTGTTTGTTTATCTACATATAGAGTAAAGAAAGTTTCGAGTTACGTCGGCGTTATTTTAAGACAAGGTAATGTCGGACTGCTGATCGAAGGTTCAGAGGTGATTCTGCTGTAAATGATACTAACGTTTAATCTGTGGGCACTTTATAAAAGTACAGTCAATCCCGTTATTTGATTCAAAGAGATGGATAAAATCATCATGTCTGTGGATGCTGCTGGCTGGCTACCTTCTCAGTTGTTACTAGTTCAAAATTATGGGTGGGTGTACCCAGTCCCTGGGGAAGAGAAGGTTTTGATCTGATAAGGTGTTCTTCAAGTTACAATTTTTTTTATCTTTTCCAATTCCATTTGGTTTACAAGAAATTTAGAAATGGCGGAAGAACTTCAATAGTTCATCATTTACAAATACGAATATCCACAATTGAATAAGTAGAGTTGTTTCAACATTTGTTTAACAACAAGTAAAAGCTTGGAATGGTCTATTATTTCATTGGGGTGCGTGTCTGTGAGCCAGACTAATTTCGGAGAATTCCACTCCTCATCAGTGACCCTGGACACTACCAGCAATGAAATATCAGACCAAACCAAGCCTTTATACTAGTGAGGTATCGAAAATCAATCTATAGCTATAGAATGATAGGTTTCTCTCTTTTTGTGTGTGTGTGAGTGTAAAACACGTAAATACACCAATTTGATTTACGACTATACATTTAGGAAAGTGAAAATACCGTATTTTTCGGTGTATAAGACGTACTTTTTTACCCCCAAAATTTGATGTCAAAATCTGCT